ATAAATAATTGTCATTTGTCAATTCAATTTTTTAAAAAAGATAAAAACAGGATATATTTCAGGAAAACAAAACGTGATTTCATATTAGGTAACATTTGATATTTTCCATAAAAACTGGATTTTTGTTTAGAATTAATACTGAAAATAGAAATCCTTCCTCTGAGTGTTACTTATGATGAAATTAGTTCAATTATGGCCTCAATGTGATAAGAGGCTTAGTAAAATATTTTAAGAATTTTCTGAAAGCAAAGGTACTTGTAGTAACTTGTAAGAACATTTGACTTATCAGATATTGGATAATTGTTTTTTTAAAAAGAAATAATTGGTCCTTTAAAACAAACTTGCCCTATTTTGCTTCAGAAACTTGAGTTTCATTTCCAGTCTTTGACGTTGCTGTCATTCAGCTTTTTAATCATTTTAATGTTTTATATTTTCTTTTCACAGGTTTCGTTATATTATCCTGAAGCAGAAGTTTTTAGAAGCTTTATGTGTTAACAATGCAATGTCAGCAGAAGATGAGCCCCAGCATGTAAGATTTTTATTCCTGAAGGTTTGCGCCATAGTCTTGTTTTCAGTCATAAGTATTTTGTTCACTAAAACAAAAGATTAGTATCATGAGTTTTCAAAGTTTTTATAAGTTGGGATGGGGCAAAATACGCTGTTTTTCAGATGTAGTATTTTCTTCAGTCTGTAGTGATTCTATTCTTGTGATTTAAGTCAAGATGATATATGAACAGCTGGCCAGTTGAAGAGCAGGTGCTCCTCTCTTGTTTAAGTTAAGGTAGATGGCAATAGATGTTTGACTTGGTAACTCTTCATCATTGCTTCTTTTCTTATCCCAGAGGTGAGTTGGTTATGTTTACCTCCTTTTTGTCTCTTCTTTGTATTTTCTTTGATATAGAGATAGTTTTTTGCTGAAATGTTTGTCTTCATGACTATTTAAATTTAATGATATTAAGTTCATTTTGATTAAAAAGTTTCTTTTAAAGTCTCAATATTAGTATTATGACATCCAAAACCAAGAAAACTTTTATTAAGTTCTAGTAAGTAAGTGTTTACTAACATAAACAGTCCATTCAGGATGCCATAACAAAATATCATAAACTGGGTGGCTTATGAACAACAGAAATTTATTTCTCACAGTTCTGGAAACCAGGAATTCTAAGATCATGGTGCCAGCATCTGGTGAGCACTTACTCTCTGGTTCATGGATGGCACCTTCTAGCTGTGTCCTCGTATGGTGGAATAGGCTAGCTAGCTTCCTGGGGTCTCTATTTTAAGGGCACTAGTCCCATACATGAGGGCTGAGCCCTCATGACCTAATCACTTCCCAAAGGCCCCACTCTTCTACCATTACCTTGGGGGTTAGGATTTCAACATAATGAATTTTGGGGGAACACAAACATTCAAACCATAGCACAAACCAAAGGATATTACAGTGGGGACTTTCATATATAATAAAGAAATGTTTGCCAGATCATGATGTTCAAAGTGAAAAGAACACTGGAACATGAGTCAGAAGACCTAATTTTTACTGTCTTTATCTCTAATCAACTGAATTACTTTGGTTAAATCTGCATTCTAACTTTTCTCATATGTAAGATATGGAGGCTAGACTAGGTAAGCTCTATGTTAGAGCTCTATGTTACATTCCTTATGTATAAAAGTATGATTTTAAAACAGTATTCATTATATTGTACAAATTATTAGAATGTGTCTTTCAGCTAAGCTTCCTTTTGTTCTGTCTCTGGTTTATTTTTGTAGTAAATCAACTGTAGATGTTCTCTTTTCTTGGTTTTCTTTCT